CTCCCTCCCTCCCGTCCGTCTTTTTTTTTTTGCCCGTTCTTTTCTGTGTTTTCTTTGTTTTTTTATTTCATTTTTCTTTTTAGTTTCCGTTCGAAATACCATTTGTGTCATTGCAACAGTACCGGGGCCTGGCCTTCAAGCAGCGACCGGGCCTCCCCTTAGCCGACACCCCTAAGGTTGCGGCGCGTACACGGGAAGGCCTGCGGCCGATAGCTGGGCCAGGTACTGGTGGTTTAAGGAGAGGAGGAGGGGAACCAGTATCTCCTTACTTTTTCGGTAATACATGTAAAATAAATACTGATTGTGGGATCAGGAGGGCTGCACGGCAGGATTTGGCTCACTCAACTGCCACACAAACTCTTTTGTATCCTATCCAGTTGCTAGTGGGACCATGGTTCAGGGGTGAAGTCCCACCGCCGAAGTTGAGTTTTCTCAACGCTGAGCTTTCTATCACGTGTGGCATGGTGGGACGGAGCTCTACCGTTGATGTATTGAGAATCTAAGGGTACCGAAATACAGAAGAATAACCTATTAGATTTGGTCATTTTGTAGAATTTTTCTTTGACGTGAAATCCGTTTTGTAGTATGTGTTGGCCTTTTGGTTTGGGCGGGAAGCCATTTTCCATTGAGAAAACTACCCTACCGAGGGTAGGGTACATTTCTCAACTTATTTGCCTTTCGTTTTTTTTTTTTTTTCCAGATATCATTACACCCTGAAACGGAGGAACTCTGACAGCTGTGTTTGGCTCTCTCGCATCAAACTCTCTTCCTTCTTTGGGCAATGAACGCATCTGACCATCGATGTTGTCCCTGTCCATTTTACGAATGGTGACCTCCTGTCCCCTCACCACGGGAAGTACCCTTTTTCCACGGAGACATTCACTCCGACTGTGCCAGACGTGTTTTTTTTTTTTTTGTTTTTTTTTTTCTTTTCCCAAGGAAACACGGGCTCAGTGCCCAAGGCTTATATTTCCAATTGAACTCAACCAAGGTCGTGGTCCTCACAGTCTACCCGGATGGTCACCTCTGGGAGCATTACCCAGTTTCGCTTACGGGGAAAGTCCCCGCGGGGATCCACCCCAAAGTGAGTAAGATCTTATCAACATATGAAGCTCAGGCCACTACTGTTGTCTGTAGGACACTGGTCCTCCCCTAACACGGGGAGGAGGAGCATAGCGCTCCGAAAAGCAGGATCGGCACTCCAACCTAAACCCCCTTCCACCACTTACTGCCCTCCTACTGAGGAGCCAAACCGAGCGCCCAGGTTCTTACTCATTTGATACCAGCTACTCATCCAACACCAGCTTTCCGCCTTGAATCGTAGCCACCCGTCCCTGTAGAGCCCATGTCTCCATGAACCAAGACACAGACGTGTTTCATTTCTCCGAGTTACTTCATCAAAAATAAGGAGAAAAAACTGTTTCTAGCGTTTTTAATAAGTTTTTAACTTTTTTGTTTCGAATTTATTAATGTCAAAATGGTGTCACACAGTTGCGTTTTCTAAACTAAGGGCACGCTCACGCTGGGTACCAAAACCGTAAAACTCCCAAAAAAATGTGCACACGGCTGGTCACACACAATGGTTCCGACCCCAAACACCCCATTCGCAAACCCATTTGTTAGCGGCCTGCCTGGCCGCGGGTTTGAGGAATTTGCGGTAACCTCCAGAGGTTACCGCAAAATCCTTATTCTTTTTTTTTTTTAATTTTCGTAAATGAATGCAAAGTTGAAAAGGGAACATGTACGTTCTATATTTGGGGTTACTTCTGTGTGACTGGAAACCCCAAACAGCAGCACCCTGATTGCACGGTAGCGGCCGTGTCTTTAGCGAAATGGGAACGCGGTGTGAACGCAGTGCGACCTAAAACGTCCCAAATACCCCAATTCGGCTCAACCCATTTTCGCAATTTATACGGATTTGCTACCGCAGTGTGAGCGTGCCCTAAACTCGGGTGGTGGGACTTCACCCCAGGTGTCAGTGGTGACTGCTTTTATCAGCATCACTATCACAGGCGGGGG